CGAGTAATTATAATGTATAATGTGAATCCCTTTTGCATTTTTGCAAGCTAAAATATACAGACATTATCTCAGCCATTAGAATTTTATAAAAAGACTAATGTTGAGATGAATATGTATATGTATTTCGCCTTCCAAAAACATGAGATATTAAAGGTATCCATAAATAATATTTTTTTTTTTATATTTATGCATACTTTATGTGACATTTAGTGCAAATTAATTTTACAATAAACACTCTAAATGTCAATAAATCTAATCATGGTTACGCAATAATGAATCACATATTTAGGTACCCCTAATTAAATTGCGCTGTACATAATTATGGAATGACGTAATGCAGAGAATTTGAGAGTCACCAAAATATTATAATGGTAATATAAGCATTCCAAATGTATAAAAACTCCATTGATGGATTACATGTAAATGAAAAAAAAATCTCTCCGTTGGGAAACGTTCCTCTTCTACCACTAGGGGCCTCGAAATGGTCGGCACTGGCACATCGACCGGTTCCTACTTCCATGCGTGAAAAATATACAGAATATGACTCATGCGTATCGTCGTGTGGGTAATTCAGCACACGTTTATTATTCATAGGTAGGTATGAATTACGGGCACGTATTACAAACCACGGTAAACTTTATTTCAAATTAGGAATCTTTCCTTCGCTACAATATTGCCTCTCGTGTGAATCAGCTTTTGCACACCGGATACGAAATTATCTTGGTTCGATATGTTTTATCAACTCTATCCTAAAATGAGAAGGCAGCACACATGTAGAATGTCGGTACTATTCCTCGGTACTAGCTTTAACAAATTTACTCGAGAAACTCGTGAGAAAACAATCTGAGGGAATAAACAATTGATACTGTATAAGTTGTATTGGTAACTTTGATTAGAAATAAAAAAAAACTGATTATTCTCAAGCCTAAAATTACATTTTTCTGTTCAAATAACCAGTATACATTTAAATATTGTTTATTCAGAGAAGAATTCACAAAAGAGATTCTGATTTCAAGAAACTTCCCAAAACCGCTACGTGTACGCCAATTTTCCTAATGAAATTTTCAAAAATTACTTTCGAATGTATACACTTTTGAATGTCTTATATGTAATATCAATAGCTTTAACGAAATACAGTGTTTATAAAAAAAAACACAATTTTAAACATAGACTAGTAGAAGACTAGTTATTACAAGAATCTTTTCTTATGAAATTCAATGCAGAACATGGTAACATTATACCTATAATAAAACATGGCAGTTTGCTTGTCGCAAATATCGTGTTTCATATACCGCACATGTAGTGAAAGGTTAGTAGATCTACAGCTAAGCAAATGATAATAGTTTTATTTATCATAATAGTTTTAACAGAATACAAGAAAAGTAAACTAAAAGCCTGAGAAGAAATATCTGAGATTTCCATACAAAATAATTCTTTGAAAGGATTACTCGACGATTTCCGAGAACATTTGAAGAAATTCGTGCATAGATTGATTAAATGGTTTGTAGCAGCAGAATTGTCAAGTCGCACTGTACAAATCCAAGGTGTGCGAGGATATTTGTTGTAAAAGTAATTATTTATCAATCGCATACTTAAAAGGAACAACTTGAAAGGCTCCGTGCAATTTTTCTTACAAAATACCACGAATAAGTTTCGTATTGTTTATTGATAAGAGATCCTCTTACATACAGATTCGTTCTTAGCTTTTCTTATCAAAACGAAAAAAAAAGAACAGTCTACGTAGTCTACTTTTTCGAGCACGATTACACATACGTTACGCATACATCTCGACTGCTCCTATGGATTAAAAAACGGAGAATTTTCGTATTCTTCTTTTGGAAATACAAAACATCTTACTGCTAATACACAATATTTAGTATGTAATTTAATATAGTTTGGAATAGACATTTTTTAAATCCTTCTGCATTATCATTCGAATTATCTATACTTGATATGCAGATAGTCTACAAGCTCGTTGCTTCCACTCTTAAACGCTCTCGTAGGTGTTTTTAATCGACCGCGCCAAGTAACTTGAAAACCAAATCCCGATTGCCTGAAACAGAATTAGAAGAAATGTCGAATTAGTGACGATCGTCTTTTTTTTTAAATAGGAACACGCTATCGACGCAAGAATAAAGAAATTAGAAGTCGCGAAACGCGGTTTTTTGAACGACGGGAATATGTTACGAGTGAATTACCTGAACAATGGCAATACCAATGCCAACGCCGCCGAGTTGCATGGCATGAGCCGCGATGTAAGCCAGGAAACTCTTGTAACAACCCTTCTGGTGCAGAGTCGGTGTGGTAAGGGTGCAATTTACCGATCCTACGGTTCCCATTTTGAAGTCGCAACACGAAATGGGAAGGTTTTTCACGGTTGAATTAGATGAGGGATTCAAAATGTCGCTCCAATCGGTCGCATTTTTAGTACCGCAACAGTCGAACTAGAGAAAGATTCACGACATTAATTCCACTTCGTAAACGGTTCACTTCAAGTTTCGCCCTTTACCCCTTCCCCTAGGATTTTTATCGCAGATACAGTGACAACTAGTATTTATCTTGTTTCTACAACTAATTTTTTGAAAATTGAATCGATGGTAGAATTGTTATCTCTGATTAAACGATTGATTGACCTAAGCTGAAGATGTTATTCATTTTTGGTGAAATAAGGAATTTCTAGTATGTCATTTTGCACTTGCAATAAATGCATAAAAATCCATAAATGCGTAAAACATAATATTAAAAAATTCGTACAACTTGAAACCAATCACTAAATGTAATTTTTAAGAGAATTGAATTTACCTTGATGCATGAATTAAGGATTTGAAGATCGCGATGTATAACTATCTTGATTACGTATGAAAAATAAGAGAACAAAATAACACTTTTGCCACACTGTGGCTAAAAATGAAATTAGGCTTAAAGACATGATGAATCAGTTCGTGACCTCAAAGGTACACCGAACTATACGTATATGAAGGGTTAACAACTAGACTACGAGTCTTCGTGTATTTATCGAATAGTATCATGTTTATCTTACAATGTAATCTTTTAATCGATGAAGGGAACCTTTTTCGAATTCCAATTTTTTAAAAGTAAGATAATCGATTATCCTCTAGTAAAAACAAGAAATTTGTATAATTATCTGAATTTAAGATAATAAATGTACACAATTAAACTAAATGAAACCAAGTAACTGTTCCATTATCCGAACATGCATGTCACTCTCCTTAGCCCGAATAATCAACGTTTTCCATTGTATTTTATGTCTACATTTATCACGATGCTTATATATTGATAAAAAAAAATTTGTTTCTTACGATTTGACAAAACATTAATAACATTCATATTTGGAAGGTTCTAATTAAGGCAAGGGTTGAATAATCCTAACTCGTGAATAATCCTAAAATTTTGTATTTCTATTTTATTATGGAGTAAAAGCTTAATTTTCCGGGTTGTTTATTATATTATGCACTAGCTAAGAACAAAAAATATAAATGATAAGTTTATTCTAGAATTAGATTAACACATTTCTCACACTTTTATTCTGGGGTCTATCGTGACCCCAGTATATGAGTCATTTTTGTGAAAATCATTAAAACAGTTAAGGGTTGCCAAATATGTCGTATTTCTTCAAAATGTAAGGAAAAATCTGAACAGTTAAGAATTTCTTAATCAATTTTTCAATAACAGTAATAATTTCAATTGTAAACTGTGAAGTCGAACTCCAATGGCGTAGGTCAATCGTTTCTTTCGATATTATCATGTAAAAGAAACCTGTTAAGCCCCCTTTTGAGGTAACACAATCATTGATAGTTCTATTAATAGATCACCGGTAGGTAAAGTTACATGAAAACTGCAGAACATTTCATAACATGACGAAATTGTTCCTACAGCACAGTTGTATAATCGTAAAAGTATTACGTTAGCCGGACAGATAGATATCCATCACGTTAATTATCCCCACTCTGTTCAAACAAACAATCGAACAGTCGACAGTTCGACAGTCTTTCTTTCTCATCGCTCCCCACTTGCTTTGTTCTAGCAAAGATACGACGAACAAACGATCGATATGAAATAAAATGTTACCCGTTATTCGTCGATTCGTTGTAACCTAACGCGAATTTGATCCAACACCGGTACACAATATTTTGCGATGATATCGAGTGATGATATTTGTGATCGTATTTTCTCGCTGCGATTTCGTGTGAAAATTCGATGCAAATTCGATGAAAATTCAATGAAAATTCGATTGCCAACTAATCGTATAACAACGGTAATTGTGGAACCGCCGATTTTATGCATTTCCGAATGCATAAAAGCATGCAAAGCATTAAAAGCAATCAAATAATTTAAACACGTTATTGCAATATGTTCAACGTATCGAATTAATTAGAGAATGAAATGTATCTTGCGATTAATGCAGACAATTTTTATTTTGCACGAACGTACGTTTTTCTATATATTATCTGTCTGCTAATTATATATATTATTGAGATTTAATGTTTAATATGTTTCAAGATATTCGTGACATTTAATGACAAAGAGAATCACTTGTAATTTAAGCTTAGAAGAAAACTCAATTGTTAATTGAAACTAATTATTAAAGCGAACTATAATTAACGCGAGAAAATATCATATTCTTATATTTTCATATTCCTCAAGAAGACCATGTTAAAAAGGTAACGTGTAAAAAGTAAAATATATTACTTTGCGTTGCAGGTTGTCCCAAATCTCTGTTATGCCTTCGGTAGTCTGGTATTCCTTCATAGTCTGCTCCATTTTGCCTTCAATGATAGAGGACGCCCTGGCCCTCAAAACATATCCAGAAATACCACCTGCAAGTTCCAAAATGAAAACGATGACCAGCAAAGAGGTAAACTGCGAACAAAAAGCAAACACAATGACCGGTCAAAGTGTGGTGGATAATTCATTCGATTTGCAGAAAGTGTGTCCACTTATGCGGAACCTAGAACACTTCGTGGAAGAACATCTCATAAACATGTCGATATTAGTTATTACTAGTATTTATTTATTCTTTTAATTATTAGTCATATAGTTAACGCTTCGATGCTAAATCAGGAAACGAGAAATAAACAAAAATTAAATTCTGCACTGTCTGTCTACGCACGGAACGCCATTTTCAAGAGGTTCCGTAGTTCCGAAACAATGCAGTTATGGGGAGAGAGCAACGTAAAAATAGATTTTTATCAGGACACGAAACTTACGCGAATCGATACCTGACGATTCCTCATTGAGAAACATGTGCGGTGGCGGACAGTGTCCACACGAGCTTACGAATAATTATATTTCCATAATCTCTATTATTCTGCCTATACGGTGGCCCCCATCTTTTAAAACGCAATAACTATTTTAAAACTGAACCAAATGACTCGAATGTTTTTTTGGATGATAGAGAGACTAGTCTACTAGACGATGACTGAAATGATTTTCTTTTTTAATTTCGCTATTATTTGGAATGACAAAAAAAATAAAAATCTCTAAATTTTTAAATTTTTCATCTGAACCTATAACGATAATTTAAAAAATGTCTTTTGTAGATCTCGATAACTTATATACATGTTAAAAAGTTTATCGAAATCGGTTCACGTTGTTACGAGTTACAACAAATTAAAGGTCGCAAAAATCACAGTTTTATCACGATTTTGACCAAAAACTGTAAAAAAATCTGCAGTTTTTACAATCCTTCAACGTTTGTAGCTCGACTCTGGATTAATCGATTTCGATCAAATTCAGCACGCATATAAGTTACTGAGATCTACAAAAGGTATTTTCTAAATCTTCGTTATAGCCTCGGATAAAAAGTTAAAAAACGAGGGTTTTCAATTTTTCCTTTTCATTCCAAGTAATAGCAAAATGTGAAAAAAAGCTTTTTAGTCATCGTCTAGTAGACTAGTCCCTCTATCATATAAAAAAAATTCAAGTCATTTAGTTCAGTTTTGAGAAAGTTATTACGTTTTAAAAGGTGTACGAACACTTTTGTGGGTCACTGTATGTATTTCTCTAGTCGTTTCTGGCTACGCATACGTCGCGAAAAGTTACGACATTTTAATAAGGAATAACTTGAATCTTTTTTCTCAGATGACAGACATTACGTTCTTTTTGTAATAGGTACTAACTTAGTTGGCGAACGAAACATTTCTTTAATTCTAATTTTTGTTAATGCTACAAAAAATTATTATTTTTTCTTACGTTTTCGTAATTTCAAAGTTATAAGAATTCAATATTTTCTTTGTAGTCTCATTATTTGAATCTTTGATTATAGTTCTCTGCGGAAAGTATTCTTAGAACATCGAAAAATCCTCGATCGCAAAGGGTTAATTTCCAAAAATGTACGTCATTTAAATCCTGTTGATCCACGAGGCAATAAAGATTTTTAGGTGGTCGGAAACTTTTCACTGATAGCGGCATGCCATTTTGTTTATCAATACTTATTCAAGTCTGCGGGGAACATTAATCTCCTTTCAAGGGTATCAAGAATTATGCTCGATTCTATGTACAGTAAATTATTCCTAATTAACGCTCAGATTGTGAACAAAAATGGAAAATTTGGAAAGAGGTGATACTATTATTCGAGCCTTGCGGCTCGTTTTTATAATTACCGACTGTCGACAACTATAAAAACGAGCCGAAAGTACCTCCTTTTTCCAAATTGTCCATTTTTGTGTACAAGCTGAGCGTCAATTAGGGAGACTTCACTGTACACACATACATTATACAGATAATTGTATCTAGAGTGCTGCAATAATACTTAATTAATATTATCGGAGGTGGTCGATTAATACAATATAAGGAATACATTACCGTCACGATCATGCAATAATTTTCACGAGCAGCGCCGCAGCATCCGAAAAATGCGATGAAGAAAATAATGGCTCCGATTGCGATGAGCAGCGACGGCACTGATAAGAATTTGCTATCCAAGAAGTGCTGGTAGCTATGGTAGATGCCATGCATCCCCACGCCAATCGATAATAAAATTATGCCCGTTATCTGAAACCAACAACGTTCGAATTTGTAAGTCAAATTGCAAGAGTCCTGTATAAATAAAAATGATGTTGCAACAATTATAAAAAATATAATTTGAATGTTCTTTCTTGTTTTCGCAATTTTTAGTAAATTTACAACAGCATAATGACATTCATAAATTATTCGGCTGTTTTTGCTATTTTGCAATTCCTTTACTCATTTTTGTCGTACAAAATGGAAGTGGAAATGTAGTCTGTGAAAATGTAGCCTGCTCCATGAATTATTTAATTTCTTTAATTTCTCTTAACAATGGGGATTACATATTTTTTGTAATCAATCTTTTCAAGCAGTCCTCGGATAAAAATTCTGGCGGAATAAATTGAAATTCATGAAAATTGACGTAGTTTCATATATTAACTAAAAGTGAGACTCGTGGTGGAATTTTCACTCAGAATCTATTAAATACGAAAGTTATTTATTCCTTCTAAATCGAAATAAAATTTGATTCTTCTTGGGTTTAGTGGTATCGACTGCCGCATTATCATGTGGCCGAAATACATTCATTGCCCGACAATTAAATAAATAATAAATCAATCAATCAAATCCGCAATCTAGTGATGACCTTTGTTCGACATGTATAAACTTTCCTTTCGCAGTGCGAATGAACAGTGTTGTATGGCGTATTTTAAATGAGAAAACTTTATGTTGACCCGTGGTCGTTGTTCACAGCAATTGGCATTTTTTTCATTTCGACACGTGCCTGACAACGTACCACGTATTTATTAACACGGTGAAATATGATGTTCCAACATCATTAAAAGTTACTCAGACTATTTTAGACGCTATATCCATGTTTGCTCTTTAAGGACTTTTCTTTACAAAAGTTCATAATGCTTTTTTGTATAGATTTATTGGCTGAAGTATGTACAGTGGTGTTGCATAATTATAAACTCAAAAGTAACTTTTACATTGTTACTGATGTCTGTACGAAAACTTAACAAATTATTATGTTTGTATATATTCAGTTTGTCATTTTTAAACGGTTAAAAAATTATCAACACTCTTTCATAGAAAATAATTGAATAAGATTTTCCACTCAAGCATACATTGTAATAAAATTGACGGAAGATGTAAATAAATATAGCCTTTTCATCGTTATAAAGCTACACGCGTTAGTTACTTTTCGAGCTAAAAGTGGATTTAGTGTTAAGTAATCTGAAGATTTTTATATCTGTAGCTTTTTGAATCCGCGTCAATCGATTTCGATGAAATTTTCAACATGAATGTACACGTATAATGTGTGTATGAATGCATATGTAAAGACATTTTTTTTTTAATATCTCAAGAACTAATGATCTTTTTGCAATCATACCCTAATCATTTTTTACACAGAACAAAAAGAGGAATCGATCTGCGTAATAAAAAATATGCATTTCCATTTAAGGAATTGACACAATTGTTAATTGTACATGCACCGATGCGCTTAAGAAAGATTTAAGGCCCTACAAGTGTAATGCTGTTCGAGCCATTTATCTTTCTCCTTTGGCATTTGTTCGTAAATGCATTAATAACGTAGTTACGACCTCAAATAATTGCATAGACCACCCTGTATGTATATGGACGGTTCAGAAGACAATCAGTGTCTTTCCTTCGTAACCACTTTTCTATGAAAATGATTTACACAGTGTAAATACATCTATCATCATATAATCGATTTATATATCGACCACGGAATGACAAAACAAAATAAAATAAAAAATGATAAGAGAAATGAAAAAATTAAATAAAATAATTATATAAATATTAACATTAAAATAATTTCTTTTTATTTATTTATAATAAAAATTGTGCTTTGCATTATTAGCGACATCGTTATTCTTTTACAGCTAATTTGCAAAATCCTTATCTGAATTTTAAGCTTAATGGACTTGCCACTGATTGGCTTCCGAGCCATCCACATGACCGAGATCTACGATAAGTATTGTGTATGTATGTATGCTCGTCGTGTAGGCTCAGATAGAAAAATTGAGGACACATAATTTTCTTATTCTTTCAATTTTTACAAAAATCTTTGCACTTATTGTCTAGTAAACTAGCCCCTTTAACAGCTCGAAAGGGTTTAAGTCGGTTGATCCAATTTGAAAACAGGTTATCGCGTTTTTAAAGGGTGTCCACGAATATTATCGCTACCCACTGTATGTTCGTTGTACTGCGCAAAATCTATCGGTATTTTTTTAACTACACATTCACGAATTTTCGCAGGTCGTTGTTATTTACAGTATTAAGAAGAGAATCCCGAGATATATACATATTCTCGCAACTGACAGAGAAAGAGGATTACTTCTTTAGAGGCTTCCACGGTTGAATGACCAGTAGGCTTTTCTTATCAAAGCTGAGCATCGATTCCGTCGTGAACGTACGGTAATATTTGTAATGCGATTTATCATTACTCGTGTTTGCAAATACCGAACATCTGTCATCAACCAGTTAGACATGGCGTCCTCTTTAAAAAGTGCATATCTAAAATATGTCGCAAAATGTAAGCGATGTAGCGATGACTAATACAATATATGACCATACAGGGTGTTCCATAATTATGTTAACACCCGGAAATGGGGGTCCCTGAAGTCATTTAAAGTAACGTTTTTCTTAACGAAAATGCAATTCGTGGCTTTGTTTACGAGTTATTAACGAAAAACACCGACCAATGAGAGGTCAGCTCGCCTAGCGCTAAGCGGCCGAGCCAATCGGCGGAACTGGGTTTCGACAGTTCGTTGGTTCGGTCGCCTTGCGTCAGCTGAGCTCGTCTCTCATTGGTTAGTGTTTTTTAAGTTATTTCAAATCTCCTCAGGAATCACCCCTTTCTGTATGTTCACATAATTATAGGATACCCTGTATACAGTTCTTTCATAATAATTATTTATATTTTTTTATTCGTTCGTTTCATTTTGTTTTGGCATCCAAATATTCAGAACGTCTTAGAATCTACGAATATATTTTAGTTTTCAGTAAAATGACAATTTAAACAGCAAATTGCATCTACTTTTTACGCACTACGAGTGTACTCGTCGTAACTAGACTGAGGACTTTATGCATTTATGACAAAAATGAATACATGATATGCAAAATAGGTAACAAATAACAAACAACTAGAAATGTAGAGATGCGTGAATTCCAACTTATTCAAATTATTTAATTCTGATCGATGAAAATAATTTTTATTTTGCGTTAAGATCCGCAATCTAGTTATAACCCAAAATATTGCCATTTCTTCATGACAAGCATTCTCGTCAAAAACAGATAACTGGTTAATTCTTTTATAAAACTGCTTAATTGAAATGTTCTTGCAAGTTTTTCTGTGATCCCTAAATCATTGAAAAGCTAAATACAAAAATTCTCTATTAATTACTTCGCCAGTAAAACGCTCTGATTTAGCCATATTCTACGTAGATGTGCATTCATACAATTCAAACAATAGAATGGACAGATAAATTTACTGCCAGGCATTAGGGTATTAAGACGCCTGGAGCCAAAACGCCAAATACATAGTGGTTGTTATTAACTTTCTTGCCGAAACGTATGCACTTTACACGTTCGCTACCAGCTGAAGCTAAAATGCTTCGTTGAACGCAATCTGCCTTCTTCATAAATCAATACAATTTTCTTTTTTATAATATCCTAGAACCCTCATAATTTATCCCACGGGAATATTTTGTAAATTGAAATAGATAGTATGAAAAATAGAAAAACGAAAATTCAGAGTATCCCAAAAATGTTGTAAGCCAATAAAAGAGGTAATTGCTGACGTGATTTCAAGTAACTACACGGGACTAAAACTCCACCCCAGAACAAGTAAAAAGTGTCTTATGAGTATGATATGTATGAACTTGTGCTGTACGAGGTATATTTTTTATTTTAAATTTTTGTAAATTCATTGAAAATTTAAGGAGATTTATTTTGTATTATTTGGTATTATTATTGTATTATTTATAAATTGTTTCAATCCCAAAACTACAAACCAAGTTGTTAAGTCGCATCATATATGTACAGGGTAAAATTTTCGATGTATTGGAATTGTTATTTGCAATCGAAAATTGTAGCTGTTTGAACAATTTATTTTATATTTTGCGATTAGTAGTTCCAACTTGAATGACGAACATTATATTCAGGGCCTCGAAACAAAAAAAACGGTTTCACCATTATTGTTTAATTATTTTTATAATTATAAGAAAAGTTAAATAGTCAATTAGGTTTATGACCATCCCAGCTTTTTTCATTATCTTTTTCAAACATATTTTTGAAGATACTTCTTGCAGACCTAATGGTCTTTCTGTTGTTTCTAGCGCAAACGAAATTTATGTTATTTAATTGCCAAAAATTAAGTAATTGGGTAACGAATTATATACACCGGGTCAAAATGACCCGGTTGCCGCAGTACAAAGGTAAAATGTAGAAAATTATTTTACATTAAGTATTTCATAGGTTTCTTTTGACCCTTTTGGTGGAAACGCTGTTAAGTATAAATTGCGAAAGGTATCTTTTGACCTCTTTTTGGTGAAAGCAGTGTTGAATCAAAAATTTGAACGGTGTCTTTTGACCCCTTTGGTAGAAAGTGTTGAATTAAAATTTGAGAAGGAATCTCTAGCCCTCTGGTAAAAATAGTGTTAAGTACTTATTGATCGTCGGCGAGACTGCTCGCGCCGTCCATTTATTCATCTTCATTATCACTAGACTGCGGATCTTTATGAAAAATAAAAATTTCCCGCGTCGAAAAAATTGTTCGGGACGTTGAGTTTTAGATACGACATATTTAATTTCTTTCAAAATCGATGAGGTGCAATCTTTTATGAATAATTACCCTTGCATGTGTACATATATACCTACGTACCCCACGCATTAAATATTAGCAGTTTGCGAGAGTTTCCATAATACTTGCGTGAATTTCAATGTATGCAACATTTCTTAAGGGTTAAACCAAAAAGTAGACGTGTGGGGTTAGGTGAAAACGCACGAATGGTTGAACCGATGGGACATCGCTGCGCAACTCGTATTAATAGCTTTTTAAATCACTCTAATACAGAATAATTTATCAAAATTTGCTCCGAACAACTTATGTTTTTCTTGTAGAGGCTATAAAAATTAATTCAATTCGATTGTTAAACAATCGCTATTCCTTCTTCGAAACTGTACAATAGAACATTAAAGATCGTCTTTTTCTTGCATGCTGTACTTCGATATTTATTTCAAATTAGTTTGAATTTTCGATTGTCAATAATTTGAGATAATTATAAAATGTATTTATGTACAGGTACAAATAAGTCCGTAGCTCTTGCAAAAATATTAGGGATGCCAAAAAGAAGACCATAATTTTCGTATATTTAGTTTGTTTATATAAATAGAATTACGTTTATTTTCCTCATACTGTACTGAAAGGAATTGTACATGGAAAAATATGTTTTGGATTAATATCTAAATATTTATATGTAATAAGACAAGTTTTCTGTTTTGACCAGGAATAAGGAATTTCTTTCCGATCACCCTACATGTTACGTAGCTTATCAAAAATTGCTTAGACGCTTGCAAATATATATAAAAGACCCCAAATATATGTATATATATACATATTGTACCATTTCATATTGGTACAATATGAAGTATTGATACAGGCCGAGAAGTGTGAATACACGCATATTTCTCCCTCACTTGAAAGTTAATATCAATTAGTGTCAATTTAAGCGTTGAACTGATTCAGTTGCTTTACGGTAAACCGTCGGTCTCAATAGGTTTTGCATCGCAAATTGGATCAATTCGAAATGAGATTGAAAGTTCTCTATATCCAATTACTAGCAGTAAGAATGCGGCTAAAACACAGTCGTGTCTAATAAAAATGAAACGTTTTATTTAAATGCATCTAATTTTTCTATTATACGATGATTTGTTTATTCAAAGTAACTGTATCACATTAACAATTTCGTTACGTACATATATATACTGCTAATAATTGTATAGTTCAAGGTATAATACATAGAAAATAATAAATAAGTTGTTAAACGATATTGAATTTGATTTTTAAAATACCTTCCGTAGATAAGAGCTTCTTTTACGTTATAAAACTTTAATTTCAAAAAAATTCTGCATTTCTCATTGAAAAATAACGATAACATTTACCTGAATCAATACACGAAATAGTACTTTCTATTACACGCGTCCATTCATTTTCTCCCAAGGCTAATTTTATTTATCGTTACATTCACAATTAACAGCGTCTGGTATGCATAAATACATAGAACATGAACCTTATTGTATAATTCAACATATACAGATTCATCGATTACTGATATGTTTAAAATATGCCCATTTTACCAGTGTCATATTTAAATATTTTTTGTATCTCTATTTCTTTTATTTATATAGATTCATAAAATCATTTCACAATTTGTTTTATTCATAAAGCTCAATATATCTGAGAAAATCTAATTGCGAATAATAGTGTTTGCATATTTTTTTATTTCGGTAAATAAACTTATTCATATATTATTTTCTTAGAAATTGAAAATAATATTGTCCACATTTAGAAGCAAAATCAATAATAAAATACAATATGCCGAGGCATATAAACATAAACGTAGAATGGTGAACGAGCACGCGAATAATATCACGAAAAATGGCCACGAAATTTCATCTGCTGTGGTGTCCGAGCGGTTAAGGAGGTGGACTTGAAATCCACTGGGTTCTACCCGCGCAGGTTCGAATCCTGCCCGCAGCGAATTAATTTTTTTTTCTGGTAAAAAGATTTAACGGCAACTAAATCGCTGTAGATCAACTACAATGTATATGAAACAACGTTATCACTTGAAATTCTTTGTTAAATATTCGTTATATAGTGTCGAAGTTGATAAACGAAATAAAAACTCATGCAGTGGCAAACTCAGTAAAAACTGAGTCTCCAATTATGATTATGGCTGCGATCCATGTGTAATTTTTTGTGTTATCTTCTTAGCAGATACCTTTCTACAAGGATAAAAACAAAAAGTTTGAAATATAGATGAAAAATTGCGTGATTTATTGGATCTGTAATATTCCTTTGTTTACGCAGACTGTCACACAGATAAAATGACGTTAAATTGCGTGTAGAACTTCCTCGTTGAAATACAACGCAAAAATGGCATTCGTTCTACCGGTCCAGTATGTTTTACTAAAGTGTAGAATAATATTTAATGAACAAACGTATAGAAATTATGGACACATAATCTCTTAGCGAGTTTTGCATTTATGTTTATTTTTATTATCTATTCTACGTCTGCGATACTAAAATTTTACGTGTCAGACATCTTTCCCTATCTTAAGAGAAGAAAACAAGATTCAAGTGCGTACGCATGTGTGTATGCTATAGCTATAAGATGCATCGATATATCGGATACAGCATGACGCATCGTTGTATGATCTACGACGATAAATGGATCATTTACCATTTTACCATATCGGCCATCTGTCGTTTGATAAATTTACATCTGTAATTTTTAATTTACATATCTCTCTATTAATCTTATTTATAAAATGTTTTAGCAATAATAACAAAATCATCTTACATTGTTCGGACCTAAATTTAGGTTATACTCGGTTTAACACATGTCATACTTACTAAGATCAAATGTAATAAAGTATGTATTTGGTAAGTATTACCAAATTGGTATGAAAATGATCACTAACTATGTTAATTTACGAAAACATGAACAAAAAATGAGGAATGCTAGTATATGTTCATCCCAGATGAACTTATTATCCATGAAGTATTTAGTAAAAGAAAATTTCTGATACGTAATATCGAAATATTCAACCACAATTTTCACATCATTACAGAATAAACCAGTATACATGTGTATTTCTAATTGTATACGTGATTGAAAGGCAATTAAAAAATAAATTCGATCGGACTAACATTTTCCGCGTAAGATATAACACATAAGACGGAAACTTATCTGGCATATGCGTTAACGATCTTCTAAACTTGTCTATACGGCTATATGCATACGCATTTATAGGAATAGACAACGATATAAATGTAAACATTATATAAAAAAAACAAAATAGATGGTACTTACGACGAAGAGCAGATTGAACAGAAAGAGCAATAATTTGACACATTGTGAACCAAGAGGCAATTTCATGGTACCAACCATTAGATCTAACGAACTAACTATATTTAATTAACGATCGCGAGGATCACTATTTAATGGTTTGTAAAAAAAGAAATAGAACGATGGAAGTACGTCGGAGATTTTCGCGGTTTTTCAAACCGTTAACAGAAAACGAAGAGACCGGCCGAGAACATCGCAACAACGATTCACTGCTTTCAGACAGTTATCGCGTGGCTGCGTGTCCGCGCGCATGCGCCGTGCGAAGCGTTTAGCCAAGGTTGCGAAACTTCAAAGATTGCCAATCACAAATCTGTTTTCATAGTTCAGGATTTTCAAATTCTCTGTTGTGCTGCCAATGGTTTCGAATGCTCGAGATTTCTACACATTCGATCGCCTTTATTCTCAATCATAACGTAGGTTATACGTAACGGAAACTTAAAATTTCATATTTCGTTGAAGCAAAATTTATAAATTTCAATGTTGAATTAAATTGAACAAACCCTTTCTGTTTACACTATTTACTGTCGCCTATAATTACGGACTCTGCCTCTAAACATATGTGCATATGATCATACTTTTACTGTAATTTCGAATTACATTTCGAATTATCCATACATGATAATTTATTTGATGCTTTCAAATTTCTGTAGACAATGAAGCTTCGAGTAACTTTATCTTTATATATTAATGTGAAATATGATATTTTATTATTATAGAATTCATCAATATAGTGATAATTTATAATCTATTGTGTAATTTTGTAGACATACATGTCTGTCTTCTGCAATATCTCCCAGGTTTCATAATTTTTTTCGAATTTGCAAAGAAGAAAGAAAAATAATTTGTTTTATGTGCCACTTCGCACGGTAAATTTTCTTTTCTTAAAAATGTTTTGTGTTCGTTACGCTGTCTGCCTTAAGTAGATGCTCAAGTATATCTCCTTAAATATATCTCATTTTTATTGGCGATAATGAAAAATGTAAAGAAATATTGATAATGTAAGTAAGGAATTTTTGTCGAAGTCAGCGATTGAGATTTTATCATATAGTGATAAGAAAAAGCAAATAATTTCCACAAAATAATGGTCGCATTAACTTCCCGGATATCACGATATTATCATTAAGATGATCATTAAGATCATAATATTACACCTTGAGATATTTTGTTTACTCGTTAAAATTGACCCTTTGCCCTTAGTCATGTTTTCCTTCGGTATATTTTTCTATTGTCAATAACGTGCGAAACAATCAAGATGCTCAAACAGGGCGAGTTATCCTATAAATAGTTAAAATGAATACAATGATATCTTTGTTCAATGTGAATTAATATAATTTGATCGATATTTTAATACTATTATTTTTAGGGGAAATAGTCATTGTATAATTATGATCACAATTATGATTATGGTTATGATTATTGTCGTATAATTATGATAATTATGAATATATCATTCTTAAATATTTAATCGAAGAAAGATTTTACTTTATTTAGATGAAAAAACAAATTAAATTCTCATTTTTGTGTACAAATAACTATCCAATGATTAATGCAAATAATATTGTTCACTTAACATTCGGGTTATTATTATGTTTCGCGTAATTGTAATTGCTAGAACTACACTCTGTGACAAAATACTAGGACTTCTCAAAACCAATTGTCTGATTGAAGATTTTTTTATGCAATGTATGTGAGATTTCAAATTCTTTATTTTATAATTATTGAGATTGTAATAATGCTTTTGTACATACATCTATTTATTTAAGGTATATTTTATGATAAAACTGGTGCAACAGTTTGATGAATACGGTCTTATTATGTTTAAACGAAAACATTGATAAAACAAATGTCTAAAAGATACTGTTGTTACAACAATCATTGTATCATTGCATTAAAAATCACAGCAATGGGCCGCACAGTTAAGCAGAACCAACATAAACGTTTTAATTATATATATTTAAATATAATTCGAGTTTATATTTTCTAATTAAAGATGTTCAATTTTTAATAATATACAGAGCTAAATTCTCACTCAGTAGCGAGATAGAAGCATGCAAGATAAATCATTAATATAAATTAACTATTAGTTGTGTATCTAGGCACCACTACAATTAATTAAAAATAAAAATCTATTCAAAGAAACGGCATGACGCCCCGTCAAACTTTTCTATGATATGAAAACGTAACTCGTAACTTTGTGTCTCAATGTTTACAAAATGGTTGAGAATGATGTCGTTTGTTCCTTTTAAAGCCTCACTTTCTGAAAAATTGATTGCTGACCATCTTTATTACAAAAGACTGAAACATCTCAACTAAAAAATAATAATCACAGCTAGAAATGGAAGAACTTATTTTTACTGAAAAAAAAATCAAGTTTAAACGTTTCTAAATAATTACACAATTGAAACACGGAAAAAACATGAACAACATTGCAGAATATTTTTTCCAAACGTCAGAATCGAACATGTAATAGAATTTTTGCGTCGACCAATCCAAAAAACATAGTTTCGAAAAAAACATGAGAGAAGTTTATTACTATCGTCTATTATGATATACTACGTTTCCTTATATGTGTGTACATTACTATAGATTCCTCAACATACCGGACAAAATGACAGGTTTCATATGTTTTATTTTGCAATTTTTAGATTTCATTAGGCATATACTGTTGAAAAACCTTAA